CTTCAGACAGTGCTGGCTCTTCGGCTTTGAAACGGAGATGAGCACCGCCCCCTAGAGTTGGGAACGACTAGCACATATGTACAAGGGGAACCTTTAACTGCCCTACAGGATAGTCAGCACAGATTAGCTGCCTGGTTTATTTCTGTGGCATTGTGGCAGTCTCACCTGTGGAAATTACAGGTGGTTCTCACTGACTGTTGAAATTTGCAGTGATGCTGATAACTGAGACTTATAATCTTCAAAATTAAGGCTGTTGCGGACACTCACCCACCCACACCCATTATGTGATTGCCACTTGTGGCCTTCACTAGCCGCTTCTGACAAGCAAACACAATGGGAAGTTGCAAGATACAATCACATGGCATCACACATAATGACCGTGCCTCTTAGCGATGGAGTTGTCAGTCCCTGCAATCACTGAATCATGCCCTAAATAATTCAGCATTTGTTGAACTACAGTTAATATTTATGTGTTTTTAGTTGACATCCTGCCTTTCGTTCAGGTTCTTGAGGTGTCCTATTTATGACGATTTATTTTCTTCCAGCATTTTTACAATACTGTACAATGCTATACTATACTAACGAGAGATTTTAAAAAACAATATATCTTTTATAGAAGGCAAATGATAGGTAATACTGTCATCTGGAGAGGATATTTATCAAATGCTTAAATCTCCATTTTCTAGTATATTGTGCATTTAATATACAATATAGAGAACTTGGAGCAGATTCAAAAAGGGTAACAAGGATGAACAGAGAACTAGAAACTAAATCTTAGGACAAGAATCAAAGTGCTGGGGAAGTCTGGCCTTGAGAAAAGATGAGAGACAGATATTTGAAAAGATATCATATGCTATCATCAACACCTATTTTCTTTCATTCCAGAGGGCAGGAAGCTGAATAATGTATTTTAGAGAAAGGCAGATTGTAAATGAACATTAAAAGATGGAAAAGGGCATTCTGAGAATAAGGCAATTTGACAGTGGTGGAGCTAAAAAGATGGTAGACTTACCTTTTATTTTTATTCTAATAGACAACTATTCTGGAGAGATGCTTTAATTTGGATTCCTTATTGGATTGACTAAATGACTTCTTCCAATCTGTGTTCCTCTAATTCAGTATTGATTGGCTATCACTTTTAACTAATTAACAAACTATCAGCGTTAACCACTAAAAAGTGAAACTTGCACCTTAAACTTGCATTTGGGCTGAAATTACCAACTAAAAAATTATTTCACGGTTATTTCACTAGGGGGAGACACAGATACTCTATGTAATTGAAATACATTTGAATAAAGATCTTAAAAGAGTTGTAAACTGTATACAGTCTACTTTCCCTGGTGCTCTGAACAGAAAGATACAGATGATACATTATGTCATCTATACCTACAGGGAAAAATATCACACTGGATATACACTGTAAAAATTAGAGAAATCCCCAGCGGTCTCTAAAAAGGAGATGTGGAGATCATGTAAAACTTCATATATGGGAGTCATGACATAAGGCAATATTTGTATATTTCTGTTCTGAAAGTTGAAGGGAAGGTGGACTGTATATACCAGTCTGATATCCCTGCGATCACTGAATGAGGGACCTGAATAACCCCTGAAGCTATTGCGTTCTATATAATCAACAGTGTAATAGGCCAAGTTCAATTCCCAATACAAATAGTCCTCAATTTACAACAGTTCATTTAGTGACTGTTCAAAGTTACAACAGCACTGAAAAAAGTGACTTACGACCATTTTTCACACATATGACCAATGCAGGATCTCCATTGTCATGTGATCAAAATTCAGATGCTTGGCAACTGACATATTTGTGAAGGTTACAATGTCCCGGGATCATGCGATCACCTTTGTGTCCTTCTGTCAAGCAAATGGGAAAGCCAGATTTAGTTAACAACCATGTTACTAACTTAACAACTGCAGTGATTCACCTAGTAACTGTCAAAATAGGGCAAAACTCATTTAGCAACATAGATTTTGGGTCAATTGTGGTCATAAGTTAAGGACTACTTGTAGATAGCTTGAAACCCAAAAAATAATATCTGGAACCCATACCTGAAGACTCAATAAACAATGCAACGGGTCACACAGTGCTTCTGGCACTCCATATGAAGCATACTCAAGTCAAATGTGACTCCTAGCATGGATATAAACATGTTCTTAAATAGATTTAAATAACCCTAGAGTTCATAAGTTCTCATTGTATTGCATAGCTCATTTTTATTTATTTTTTAATCAGAATTTTGGACTATATTTTAACTGCTTAAATCCGAATGGTTCATTCCAGTAATAAATCTGCCTAATGGTTTCATAAATTTATTTAGTAATGTATGATTATAGTTCTGAGTCTAAATCAAAAACTGGCAGAAAATTCTCTTAAGTAATTTTGAATTAAAGTTGATGTTGGTGCTGCAGCATTGAAACAAGTTGTGCCATGTTATGAATTGTACAGCTGATTACTATAAGGACCATATTTCTTTTTCAAAACAATTAAAAGAATTTCTGCACACTAGTTTTTGTATCTTTTTTGCCTTAAAAGATTTAACTTTGGATAATTATTTTATTTTTGTCTTGTGTACAGGGAGCTCATCGTCTGTTGTATCCTTTTTCTTTTATCCAGAAAACTAAATACAATTTGATTAATCATACCTATAATTTTCAAATGTACTTCAGAGAAAGTTGGTATCTTCTTAGAAGTTTATGATGGTTCCTTTCAGGAAAATGAATAATGGTGGACAAATTTCTGACACATAAATGCAGGAGATTGTTAGGTATATCTTACAGCAACTTTCCTGTTCATCTGATCTCGCATGAGTAGCTTTAGAATATCATCTACTAAAATCCACATTAATTCCATGAGTCTTTTGATGTGATTACTTCCAGAAATTTCAGATATGAAAAATGGTGCTATATGTCATTATCCTTTAATAAGTGTCATTTCCAAAGTCTTAATGTTTAAGAACATGCTATGCAATATTGCTATTGACTGTAGGCATTAAGATATAATTGATTGATATACTGTGAAACCAAGAAATGAAATACATAGAATAATAACATTTAAAGGAGGAAAGTGCAAGACATGTAATACAACTTGCAGAAAAAATCTCTCCAAAAGCATTTGAGACATAATCTTCAACCATCTCTTTTACTGCAATCTCATTTTCATTTTCATTTCTCATCCATTCTGTAAACCGGAATACATTTGTTATCAGTAGGTTTTAAAATGTCCAATTGAAAAGGGATTATCCTTTAAGTAAAAGAAGCAAATGAATAACAAACAATAATACACAAATTCCTTTCAGATCTAAGTGGGTGTGGTTGGCTTCATTTTCCTCAAGAAAAGTTTGGCTTTCAGCAGTTTACATGTTCTAGCAAGAATACTGCAAATATTTCTTTAGTGCAACACTGTCACAAATGCAAAAATAAACGTACCAATTTAATTGCTGCTGTTTCTAAAAGACTGCTTGTCATATTTAGCATTCTATTGTAGATTTATAAAATTAAANGAAAACGCCCCCCCCCTTTAAAAGGGCATGAATAGCCTTGGAGGGGCTTGCAGAGTGCTCCTGAGGGGGGCAAAAACGAGCAAAAAACAGCCCATTTTTTGTGAAAGCAAGCCCATTTTTTGTAAAAAAAATTGCATGCATAGCCTTGTGGAGGCTTATAGAGGGCTCTTGGGGGCTGGGGGGCAAAAAACGGCCTGTCTTTTGCTAATTTCTGCCCTCCCCAGCCCCCAGGAGCTCTCTGAAAGCCTCCATAAGGTTATGCACGGCCATTTTGATGAAGGGGGCGGGGCTTTGGGGGGCAAAAATGCTGTATTCAATGTATAAGACACACCCAGATTTTAAGCCTCTTTTTTGAGGAAAAAAAGTGCGTCTTATACTCTAAAAAATACGGTATTCATCATATTATGTAGTGAAGGCTGAGTCATACTGAAATAGAACTGCCATTGCAAGCTCTATTATTTTAGTCATGCCTATGGCATTTTATACTGAATCAGCTAAAACCTCCTTGCCTCAGGAGATTTAGTAATCAAGACCTTGACCGTACCAAATACAATCTCTATGTTGACTAGCGTTCCGCGTTCACCAGAGGAGAGGGACCCAGTGAAGATAATGGAATCAGTAGAACCAGATGTACCACAAGTATTATAAGATTAAGTATTATATTTACACTACTTGCATAACATTATTACAAGTATTATAACATTTCTAATAAATTTATACATTTATTAGGAATTAGGTACAGCTGTCTTCTAAGTGATACAGTTGAAATTTGTCTCCATTTAACTGGAGAGACAGTATTTATTCATTCATTCATTCATTCATTCATTCATTCATTCATTCATTCATTATTCAATTTTCTACACTGCCCATCTCACTTGCATGATTCTGGATGGCTTACAAATAAAACCATGCAACCATATAAAACAACATGGTTTATTAAAAAAGTGAATTAGAACCACATTTAAAAAAAACCAATAAATGAGTGAACAGTGGAAAGTAAAAAAATTAAAATGGCCAAGGGAACAAACCATCCTTCAAACCACCAGTCAACCCCAAGTTGCATGCCACTGTTTGAACCCCATGCCAGTTGGCAGAGCCAGGTTTTGATGGTATTCTGGAAGGCCAAGAGAGCAGGAGCCCACCTCACCTCCAGGGGAAGGGGGAACTGCAGAGAAGGCTCTCTTCCTAGACCCCACCAGTTGAAATTGATCGATGGGGTCAGCAACATAGTCTCTCTGCCTGAATGGGTGGGATGGGTCAATAAAATAGGGATAAGACAGTTCCTTAAGTAACGTGGTCCCATGTCATGAAGAGCTTTTAAAGTGATAACCAACATCTTGAACTGGACCCAGAAGCAAGCTAGCATCCAATGCCACTCACACAGCAGAGATGTTACATGCACAACTCTAGCAGTGCCTAAAACTGTTCGCACCACTGCATTGTACACCAGTGTAGCTTCTGGATAATTTTCAAGGGTAAACCTATACAGGTAGAGTACATTGCAATAGTCAATGTGAGAAATGACTAGGGCACAAGTGAGTGAAAGAATACCTTTGTGGGCTAACAACAATAAAGACGAAAATGTCACAAGATGTTAATCCATTTTAACTGTGAATAACTAAATTAAAGATTTAGCTGGATTTATACAATACCCTTGAATTGCAAGCTAGCCAACCTTAGTAATGGCTAGCCTACTGTGTTTGGCAAATCCAGTCATATTTATTCTGCTCATCTCCAATACAAACCTTCCTAATACAAATCGGTGCAATTTGATTACACAATGAACCTTCACAGCTACTTTACAACACACATTTACAATAGAAACTTTCTACCACGAAGGAAATATTGAATATGCAAAAATAAATATTGTAAGATTAAGTAAACCTGACCTTACCAATACATGTCCTGAGATTGATGCTGCATTTGCCACAGATGTAGTGAATACATTGTCTGCTGAGGCACCCACATTGGCTACTGTTACTGTGGTTACTTCTGTAAAATATGATCCAAATAATATTTGCTGTGATATCCTTCTTCAGAACTACCAAAATCCAAGAAGCAAATATTCATATGTTCTGTTAAATGAGATGTTTATAGAATGGTATTTTAATATTGATTCTGAGGGTACAATTTTCATTATCTACCTATCAATTTCCAGTATTTATATACTGACTTTATTAATAGAGCTACCAATGATTATGTGTACATAATATTAATAGCCATATTAATAGCCAAATATTAAGGGAGAAAAGGAATCCTTGCCCATTTATAATCTGACAATCTTATTTTAGCTGGTTTTTGTAAATTCAGTAACTATTTGGATGGTTTCAGTGTGTTGNGGTATAGGGTTTCCAGCTTAAGGAGAGGGTTGGAGTATAAGATATCCAAGGTTCCTTCCGGCTCTATTCTGATTGATTTAATGACCAAAGTTACAACAGCATTGAAAACAGTGACCATTTTTCACACTTACAATTGTTGCAGCATCTCCATGGCCGTGTGATCAAAATTTGGACACTTGTCAACTGTCCTGTAATGACACTTGCAGTGTCCTGGGGCCATGTGATCACTTTTTGCGACCTTCAGTCAAGCAAAGTCAATAGGGAAGCCAGTCAGATTCACTTAACAACTGGGTTACTAACGTAACAACTGCAGTGATTCACTTAAGTCAAGGACTACCTGTATTCAAGAGTTTCTCCTGTAACGTTCTAGACTGGATCATTAGGCACAATAATTGTTCGTAACATGCTGCTACATAAAGGAAAGTAGCTGCATTACGCCTACATTAAGTAGGAGTTGGCATCCCACAGACCAGGGGCATCAAACTGGCAACCTGCTGACCATGGGAAAAACATGAAACATCACATGTCAGCAATGTGATGCTGCGACACCCATGCCATAGACTAATGGGGTTTTCTTTGGAAATGAGCCTGTCAGGCAGAAAAGAACAATGAACCACAACTGTTCCTTCTGCTCCATCTTAAGACCTGTCTAAATATGTAGCATATCACCTCTACCTCCTTAGCATTACATGCCAATACAGCTATTGAAGGAAGAGCTGCCCAGAATCAATTGAACTGAGATGGGTAGCCAAACAAATTGAATGAACAAATGAATTGATCAACAAATAAACAAGAAACAAGTCTCCAGTCACAAGGAAGTTCTTAGCAGAATCTTACTCAGCAGTACGCCAGCAGTATGAAAGCTTTAGATCCAGTCAGATATTTTGTCTTCAATAATTCTAACATTACGATTCATTTTTTATTTAAGACTGCATTCTAAGTGATTTACCCCCCTCTGTAAATTAAATTACTGTTTAGTTTCAGAATTCTACTGTTATGGTCTAACAGATTCATAAATGCCATCAGGTACATGCATGTCCTTTTCTCTCCCTATTAGGTACTAAAGGCAACTTGAGAGAAGAGGAAGCTCCCCTTGGGATCAGTCTCGGGATCACTGTTGGCAGTATACTTCTGTCAGTCTACTTTCTAGTGTGGCAAACATATATCCTGAGAGCAGATGTCATTATTAATGTGGTGCTACTTGTTGCATATGGACTTGAAGGAATTCTACAAATCATAGCAATTGCTGCCTTCGTCAGCTAAATCATGTTGATGCTTGTATACATGGGTTTTTTTCAATGTTTTCTTCCAATGGAAGCAACATTTGAACATTACATGAAGGAGATGTCCTGACAATTGTGTTCCTTGTGACAAAGTTGCATGAGACATTGCTAAAACAGGTTCTGCTGGTCAATTTTCAGCATAGCGTATTTACTGTACTGACCTGTGCTTCAATGAAAGTTTGCGGCAAAAAAGCAAGCTGTTTTTCAAGGGGGAAATATCTCTTTAAATACACAGTCCAATGCAGGAGGAATATTTATTTATTAATTAAACTTATATGCCATCCTCTCCCTTTGTAAAGCAGCTCTGGGCAGCTTACAATTTAGATCATAGGTATTAAAGTATTAAAATATTAACGATATATACAAACTAAAAAAAACTGATGGCAAGGACAACACAGAGGTGGCATCTTCCCTATAAGTCCCCCAGCCCCCTCCAACATGGAGGCTCCCTATCAGGACCTCAAACTATCCCCATCAGCTGAAACACTGACCTACAGGATGCAGAGCATGCTGCTTCTGCCAGATTGAGTGGGGCAGGCCAATCCCATTGGGATGAGATGGTTCCTCAGCTAACCTGATCCCATGCCATGAAGGGCTTTAAAGGTGATGACCAGCACCTTGAATTGACCCTGGAAGCAAACTGGCAACCATTGCGTGTGTGTGTGTGTGTGTGTGTCACACAACACAGTATTACGTGTGACCTAGGGGTGCTCAGAATGGATTTTTTACTGCATTCTGTACCAATTGTAGTTTCCAAATACTCTTCAAAGGTAACCCCATGTAAAGCATATTGCAGTGATCCAAAAGTATATACATTTTTATTCAGAGTTAATATCTTAAAATTAGCTAGCCTTAGTATCAAAAGTTTCGTGACAAGTATATTTTTCTTGATATATCTGCACCAGGCCAACAGATCATAAGTTAGCCTTTCAATTACAATTATAATATTTTCTCATTTTGATTTGCAAGGTGCAGCATAAAGAGAAAAGATTGGATATTACATCAGAATCTGCCCCATCATAGACAGAAGTTACACATTATACTAAAATAAAGTGATTCCTTTGCTTTTTGCTTAGTAGAATGTGAGATACATTTAAAGGCCATGTTTTATAATGTAGTTTAGTATGTAAATCCTGCTAGTAAAGACTCAATCAGTACATTCGTTTTTAAAAGATATAGTGTGCTCTTCTGACAAATGTATAATCTTTCTAAACCTGTTAGCATTCTTGTTTACATAATTTCCAGTTAATCAAAATAAAACATTTCAAAGTTTCATTTCAAGAATATTACCGTAGATTGAGAATTTTATATATTTATATATCCACTTTATAAGCCTTATAGACTACCTAGAATAATTCTTTTTCAACATGTTTAACCCTTCAGAATATCTGAATTGTTATTTGTTTTGAGTATAATTAAGGGCATTTCTGATTATTTTATCATCCATTCATGTTTCTTGTAATCCTAAGGAAAAGTAAGATACAAATTAATTTCTAGGAACTATGTATAATATGAATTGTTTTACCTTTTATCTTTCTCTATGTATATTAATTTGCAGCATTCCAGTTTTCTTTTGTAAATATTTGTTTTATGCTTTTTCAAAAGCATATAGATCTGATGACTTATCTCCCAAAATTACTATATTTATATTTTTATATCTTTTTTTAACTATTTCATAGATTCTATATATGTGTTCTCTTATTGTTCTTCTGATAACAATGATAGTCGAATGTAAAATGTAAGTCCATCTTGTCTGTGCTAAATATTATGGAGTTCTTATAGATAATGGAGCGTTGCACAAAAGGCATAGCTATGATTAATCTAGAAAAGAGAAATGTCATGTTTAGTGAGTCCTATAGCTTTAAAAGCCTAGAATTATTTCAAATCTGATTGCAGACATTTATCATTTTTGTAGGGCTGATCCTGTGGAACTGCCTTGTATCGATGTATTAGGACTAGAGATAGAGAGAGGAAAGTTCAAGATTTTGTGAAGATTATAAGGAGGAGAATGCCTAACATATATAATTATTTCTGACATTTCAGAACAATGCAGCAGGAATGTTCAATTAATTAGAATGAGTGCTGATCAAATCAGAATGAGCCAAACTTTGGAAACAAGTAAAAGAAGGATGACATAATTTTATAATTACACTTACTAACCCAACAATTGTGATTTGTAACTCTCAGTGAATTTTGGCATATGTTCAAGTACATGTTTACATAAATATTTTTTGTTATAATAGCATTTACTGCCATGGAAACATTGACTAGATTGCAATTCTCAAAACACTCCCGGAATAGGTGGATCCAAAATCTCCCCACTTTTTTGGGGTGGGGGTGGGGTAGAAAGATTGCACAAACTGATTATAAACAATGATATAACACAGTCACCAAAATGATTCACTAGAACATTTGTAAAAATTATAATGTGCCAGTAATGAAAAATAGTTGGTAACATAGAGTGGAAAAATATTTGAAAGTGAGCAGGTTAACATGTGGGATTTGCAGACAAACTGATAGTCTTGTTCCATAGCACATCAGATTTAACTGTAATTAAAGAAGAAAGTGTGGATAATTGATGTGGCAATATCGGACTAATAAGACAAAAGACAAAAAAAATCACAAATTATCAAGATCTGAAAATCAAAGTTGAAATATGGCATAAACTTGTTTATGTTGGTCCCTGTAGTTATTGGCAAACTGGGTGTATTTTACCCAAAAATCTAGGACTACCCTTAAAAAACCTGTGCATTGTCAAAATGTTCATTAATTGCAAAAAGCCACGTTGTTTGGATCCCAATATATATGCACACAAATACATTCTGACATGCTAGGTTCTTGGGAAGAATTTGATATATATCCAACACTAGCTAAAAAACTGAGAACTGTTTATATGTTCATACGCTTTTGTCTAGTATATACTATTAATAATGTTCATACTGATGCATTAAATGTTTTACAAATGGATATTGCTAAACTGTCAATTCGTTTATGTAATCTATCTATATAAAACAAAGTAGTATTTTCAAACACACATACAGAACATTTAATAAATACTAGGCAGTCTAGTACCCTTCAGGTATTTTTTTTTAAATTTTATTTTTAATTTAAAACAAATATAACATCCTTCTTTACATGCTGTAGAAAGTGTATCAGTTGGTTACAAAAAGACTTTCGTGCATCTCTTCCACAGTCAACAAACATACTTCATATTAACTCAAGAATTTAACTCAAATATTTAAACATGTCACCATCATCATATCTCCCTTTTCATTTGACTATAACTGTTTAAGCATCCGTCATCATAAAATATACCAAAGTTTAATATATAACCACATACTGGCCTTTCAATTACTATTTCTAAGATCCT